TATTCAGCCCTGTCTATTATTAACACTTTGTGAGTCCCACTTAAAAACTGGAATATGTTCCAGGCTCTTCTTCCTACTCCTGGCTTAAAGAGCAATTTTGATTTTTCTCTTTAGAATTATGAGACTAGCCCTGCCATTTACATAGTCTCCTAGAGCTGGTTTGCAGTTTGGTTGCTGAACCTCTCATAAGTTGCACATTAGACTCCATGCAAAGATAAAGTTATGTGGCATAGGCTTCACAGAGTCACTGCTGCCTCTGCCCTGAAATCTGAGTCTTTTATTCCATACTATTGTTGCAGCCCTGAACTGTAATTTTGTCTTTAAATTCTGGGCTGCTTCAAGTGTCTGAGTCTCTCCTTTTTCTCAGCCTATGGGAATTCTTCTGGCAAATGTCTGCAAAAGAGAAGTGGCAAACAGCATTAGAGTCTTTTTAAAGTATTTTCTTCTGCTGGAAATCTTGAGTCCTCAAGCCCTGACTACCTAAACTGCTTTTCGATATCTTCAAATAAAGTTTTTTATTTTAATCCAAGTTTTATATTTATTCTTGTTGAGAGATATTGTCTTCCATAAGTCTTTTTATTATAGCTGGAAAATAAAATTCCTTAAAGCTAGTTCTCAATCCAATTTCCTTAAAGGCGGGCCGGAAGAGGAAATGAGAAGGGAAATCAAAATGGACATTTTAAAGAAAACACCTTTAACATTATGAAACATGAAAACAAATTCTCAGGGCTTCAGAAAAATAAAAGCGAACTCTTTTGTGATACATGCCACTTTGGAAATTAGCAGTAAGGTTGCATACTGCTATATGGGTAAAACCATCCTAATGCATAATGAGGGAAAGGTACTCACTACCTGAATAAATCAATAGTTCTTAAATTTCTGAATGCATTTAATAGTTCACCTTTCCCTGATACAGGAATCAAAGTAACACTTGCTTCCAGTAAAGAATTTGAAGTATTTCTTCCTTTCAGTTTGATTGAAAAGTTTAAAAATTGGTGGTAATAGTTCTTCAAATGCTTTGTAGAATTTAGCAGTGAAGCCCTCAGAACCTGGGCTTTTCCTTGTTGGTGAGTTTTTAATTACATTTTCAATTTCACTGATTGTAATTGGGTTGTTTAGAATTTTTATATCTTCTTTGTTCAACTTTGGTAATTCTTATGTATCTAGAAATCTGTCCATTTCTTCTGTGTTTTCCATTTTATTGTAGTACAGGTTCTTAAAGTAGGTATTGATGTTCCTCTGGATTTCTGGTGGATCTGTTGTGACGTCAACATTTTCATTCCTAATTGCATGAATTTGAGCCTTTTCTTTCCCTTTTTATATTGTTGCCTAAGGGGTTATTGATTTTATTTATTCTTTAAAAAAAACAGCTTCTCAATTCATTTATTTTTTTGTATCATTCTCTTAGTCTCCATTGCATTGATTTCTGCTCTGATCTTTATAATTTCTTCCCTTTCATGAGCTTTTGGTTTTTCTTGTTCTTCTTTTTCTAGGAGTTAAGATATACCGTTAGGTTATTTGAGTTTACTTTATTTTCCTAGTGTGGGCGTTCACTGCTAGGAATTTCCCACATAAAGCTACTTTTGTTGTATCCCATAGATTTTTATATGTTGTACTGGCATTATCACTAAATTTTAAAAACTGTACAATATCTTCTTTAATTTCTGCTGTGACCCATTGATTGTTCAGAAGAGTGTTATTCAATTTCCATGTGTTTGTGAAAGCCTTACATTGTCTTATGCAATTGATCTCCCATTATCTACACTATGGTCTGATAGTATACGTGGGATAACTTCAATTCTTTTGTATTTACTTAAACATGTTCCATGAGCTAGTATGTGGTTTATTTTGAAGAATGACCTGTGTGCAGCTGAAAAGAATGTATATTCTGATTTTGTGTAGTGGAACACTCTGTAGACATCTATTAAGTCCATTTGTTCAAAATCTTGGTTTATTTCTAGTATTTTGTTATTGATTTTTTTTGTCTAGATGATCTATTTGTAATATTTGGTTATTGTGATCCCCTAATACAGTTGTATTAGTGCTCATCTTGTGTTTCATGCCCTTTAGTATTTGTTTTGTATAGTCGGGGGCATTAGTATTTGGTGCATATATATTTATAATTGTGATCTCTTCTTCTTGTATTGTTCTCTTTACAAGGATGTAGTGATCTTCTTTGTCTCTCTCTTAATTAGTTTGGTTTGAATTTTACTTTGTAAATAAGATAGCTTCCCCTGATGATTTCCAGGTTCCTATCATATGGAGAGCTGTTTTCCATTCTTTTACTTTTTTAGTATGAGTTTCTTTTGTTAACTAGGTCTATTTCTTGTACACAGCATATTGTTGGATTTTGCTTTTTAATCCATTCTACCAGTCTATTTCTTTTGATTGGTGAATTGATGTCATTGACATTGACGGTTGTAACTAATATATATTGACTTATTGTTATGTTATTTTTCTATTATTGGCTCTTTTTAATTTTTCTTCCTCTCCCTTTAATTTCTTCCCTATTGGATTTATTCTGTTGGGCCTCATCAAGTTATGACCTTCATTGTCTTTTTTTTAATATCTTCAAAAATTGTTTGGTGTGCTGGTTTGGTATTCATGAAGTTTCTCAGGTGTTCTTTGTTATGAAAGTATCTTATTCCTCCATAAAATTTAATATATGGTTTTGCAGGATACATCTGCCTAGGTTAGAGATTGTTTTCTTTTAGAGCTTGAAATATCTCACTCCAGGTCTCCTTGACTTGAGGGTTTGTGTTGAAAAGTCTGCTGTGATTGTCATGAGCTTTCCTTTACATATAATTTGCTTCTCTTCTCTAACTGCTTGTAGTAATTTTAGTTGGGTGGGGTGTTGGATTGAGTTGCTCGGGTGCCTGCTGTCTCTGCTCCTTGCCGGTCTACTGAAGATTATTTAATATCTATATTTCTACATTCTGATCACATTCACCTGGGTAAGCTTTAAAAGGACTAGGACTATCTTTTTATCTACCCTCACCTGAACTGCCCTTAGCAGTCTGTTCATGCTAATACTAATTTTTCTACATATTCTTCACTATTTAGCCTTTGGTCCTTTATCCAGTTCGTAAGACACATTTATATTTTTAGGTATTTATTATAATAACACCTCTCGCTTGATGCCAAAATCTGTATTAGTGAGGCTTGAAAGAATGAGAGAGAGAGAGAGAGAGAGAGAGAGAGAGAGGGAATGAGAGAGAGAGAGGCTGAAAAAGAGAGGCTTTGCATGTTTATGAAATATTCAGAATTTTACTTATTTCACACTCTACTAGTAATTATATGACACCCACAGTGAGCAGCAATTGAAGGACTGATGCCTAAAAATGTAAAGGGAAATGGAGGCGAAGGTTATGTTTTAAAAGATAAGGAACATTTGCAAAGGTGGAAAAAAGCATTTTCTATATAGAGCAAAATAAAATATTTTCATGAGATATCTAACAATGATTCATTGATCCTCAAAGAAATATTTATTGAAATTTTAATGCATGGAGTTGTAGTATGGTAAATTACTTTATCTATCTGGACTCAGAATAACTAATTATAATTTCTAGCTCTGAAACTTAACTTGTGAGCTGCTTTCCACATGTTACATAGAATGATAAACATACACATAATTTTTAATATATAAATATAATAAATTGCATTGTTTAGTAAATGGATTAATGTTTCAAAAATATGCAACAGTTAAAGGAAATGATAATTATAACTGAATGTTCATCTATTGATAACTTGACAATCAAATTGAAGATTTTAGTAAAATATTTTCAACAAACTCATGAACGAAATATATTTATATATCTTCATTCATTTGATTTAAATTCATTTTTATTTGGGAGCAATTTGGATTTTAACTTGTATAGTTCCTGGAACAGAGAAGTGAACATTTATTTTTAAAATGTTGACTAATGTTAAGAAAATCTGTCCCATGTTCTTTTATTATCATGTATTTTATCAAATGTTCTATTTTCATATATGTCCTATTTTTTATCCATTAAATATAAGGTGGTAAAGGACATTTTCATAGAGTTGCTTCCAGCTTCATCAGTTCATTATTATTTTAGTATTACAGACATTGAGCAGTGGATGTAATCAGTGAGATAATAGATTAGTGCACATCCCCAAATCACCAGATAGGTATAATAAAAATGTTTTAAAATTACTTAAAATTCAAGATGGTTTAAATATCAAAATCTTTGGTCCTTCAAAATCAATTTCATGAAATTTAACTGATGCATCAGATATCAGAATGAAATTTTAGACTTAGGTTTTTGCTGCTATTGGTTAACATATTGTTTACCACTTGTTATTTCTCTGCCTTCAATAACCAATATAATGACTAGTAACTTAAATATTGTTTATTTTTAAAAATTCATTGCATAAAAGAAATCCTACTGTCTACTTCTGGTTTGATGGAATTATTATGAAGTTAAAAAGTACCATAACAATGATGCAATTATTTATTTTGTGTTTCATTCTACCACATGCTTGCTCTGATGCAGTGCTTTCAGCTATACAACAGATGCTCCATATATTTTTATATCTCCAAGTAATTCTTTCATGATAAAACATAGCACCTTCAGTCAGAAATAATAATGTACCAAAAACATGTGTGAAAAAAGAATACTATCTTTCCTAAAGATGAATTGATTTCAGAATTTAAACATACATGTAACAAAACTGTAACTTCTCACCTGATCAAAACTATACCTGGTGTCTCAGTGATTAGAAATAATATGAGAAACAAATATTTCAACTAGAAATAAACAGGAATTTCTATCTGTTTGATAAAACAAATAATAATACTTTTTGAAAGAACTACTAAAATAAATATTGTTTATCATTTTAATGTTCAAAGGCCCTTTGTAATGTATACATCATTGCTCATATTGTGTCTCAGCCTCTGTCACCAGTAGAAAATACTCAGAGATTAGACATTTTTAACTCCCTTTCACCTACATGAACTTTGTTTATATAGTTTTTTTCTCTGTGTCACCCACTTCCGTGCCTGCAGCATATGGATATGCAGGATAGCAATGGTTTGGGGCCACAGTTTGCTCTGGCATGGGACACTATAAGAAGAACAGGGGGACAGACTGCCATCCATCCTCACCTATGCATCTAAATGGGCTTTATAAGAATGCTGAGAAAGTTGTGTGTGCTGTAGTGTGAATTAAGTTAAATTAAGTTCATTACCAGATATTATTATAATGTTAATGATTAAAGGATCACATAGCTCTGGGTTCAGTCAGTGCAGGGGGAAAAATAAACCAGTAATTTGAACAAAAAAGTTTAATGTGAAATCATATTAATTATACCAAAGAATTTAGTAATGATGCAGAGTCTTGGAAGTAAAGAATCACAAAAGATTTAAGCAAAGAAGATATAAAGCACTTCCTTTATGACAGAGCATTTAGAGAAAAGTCCCCACAGACAACAGATTTACAAGTGGTCCCTGTAGAAAGTGATTAATTCACAAGAGCTCCACCCACATGAATGGAATCAGTGTCCTGATAAAAGAGGTTAGAGGGAAATTTTTTCATTTTTCTATGTGAGCACATAGCTTCAAAACACCTTCTCTGTGGCAAAGAATAAGATGTGGTATGGGCTTGTGGCTTGGACTCTGCAGTTCCAAAATTGGAGTCATTAAATTCTGATTTCCATGAATGACAGGACAAGTATTTTGTTAAAACAGGCTGAATGGAATAAAATGGGAATATAATGTTGAATTCACTTAATGTTGAATACATTTTATGAAAAAATATTAGATAATAAAGCAAATTATTAAATATTAAAAATGAATAGAAATATTTATAAGACCTTGATTTTTGTATTAACTATAAATAATATTTTTATACTTAGAAGCAATTTGCAGTTAAGAATTTAGAAGTAACTATCACAGTTGTCTTCACGTGCCTTTGTGTAATAGAAATCAAATTGCCTTTTTAATCAGAGAAAATAATATTTTAGTTTACTATTAAGTGGAATGTCTAATTTTAAAAGATATAGAACCATGAAGTAATTTGAAGTTTTTTCTGTTAATTAAAGACTAGAATATCATACTTGTTTTTTAAAGATACTGGTTGGTATTGTGATGCACATGTAAAAATATCACATAAGTAAAATCACATGATGCACTTGGAAACTCACTTCTCTCAGCAGGAGAATTGAATGTTTGAACTAGCCCAAGTAACTTAGTGACTTAGGGAAATTCTGAATGGAATTTTAAAAATAAATAAAGTGCTGGGGTGCAGCTCAGTTTGAAGGCCTGGGGTTCAGGGTCTGCAGTATCACCCCCCCAAAATGTGACTTCATAGAAAACTAATTACTTTTTTTAGATTCATGCTCTGTTTGGAAACAGTAGAAAAATTTGGAGAGAAATGCAAACATTTGCACATTTTTATAATACAGATTTCTTAATATTTCAAAATTTCTAATTTGTAAGTAAATATAAAATTAAAAATATTTATATATTTATTTATGGTTTATATTTGTGGTCTTAAAAGGGTGAGATAAAAATGAGCCCTTTAGTTATCTTATTGAGAATTCATTTCTACAACTGTGAAAGTATCACTAAATATTAGATCTGAACTAGTTTAATAAAGGAAGAAAATTAATTGTTCCAAAATTTCCTATTAACTTTTGTGGTATTTGGGACTAAACCTAGGGCTTTTAAATTGAGTTACATCTTCAACATTTAATTTTTTTTTTTTAATTTTGAGAAAAGTTATCACTGAGTTGCTAAAATTCCCAGTTTGGGCTAGAACCTGTGACCCTCCTGCCTCAGCATTCTGCATTGTGAAGATTTCAGGCAGATGCCATAATACCCAGCTACATTTGTTTTATTAGAGTTCTATTTTTATTCATATTCATCTTCTTTGTTTTAAATGTAATATTTAGATTTTCTTGAGGTTTTCCTTTTTAGAAGTCAAACCAGTTAAAAATAAAATTATTTTATATAAATTTGTAAAATTAAAAAATTTTTCAAACCATGAACTAGACATAAGTTCCACAGCAAACAAGAATAATGTATCACATAATAGTTTTTTCAAGTCCTAAACTCATGTTTGATAATTTTACCTGAAAAGAACAACAGCATATAAAAATGACATTATTACACATTAAGAGATTCTGATACAAGCTTGTTTCACTAAAATATAGACAGTTGGTCTAGATGACAAAAGAAAAAAAATAAATGTATCCACTCTGTTATAGATGTTATTGATAAAATGTTAATTATAATAATTCAAAATAAAACATTGATTTAAATATACAATAGCTTAAGGGAGAAACATATAAAGAGAAATATCAAAGGATTAAGGATGCTAAAATTGTAACCCACTTATAGAAGTCTTTAATTATGTGATGTAGAATGGGAGAACAGGTATCTTGTGTCATCCCTGGAGTCGGGAATATTCCTATGCCCACAAATTACATTGGGTGACTTACCTTTGCATTAACATGAGATGATACCATATGTGTGTCATTTTGAACATACAGAAAGTCAAAATAAATGTACTTTCATATGATTCAGAATTGATCTGTTCCCTATGTAGGTATAAGGTTAAGACTGCTCATTTGTAGAGGGTAAAATACAAGAACTGCATGATATAAAGCTCCACAGAGGCAAATGAGAAACTACACCGTAGTAAACTATGCATAGCAGAAAAAACCTTTAGGGGAATTTTCATTAGTTGAGAGATCCACCAAGCAGGAAACTTTTTACACATAAGAAAATAGAAATCAAAGAATTATATGCACATTGTTTTATAATAAGTGTAAGTATTGGTTTTATGTAGAGAGAGAGATACTGAAACAGATAAAAATCTTGTAATTGAAAAATAGCATCATTGGAAGAATATTTTAAAAACTTTCTAAAGGCATCCTAGAGTAGGCTTAATCTTGGTGAAGAAAAATGAATTGAAGCTAAAAGTAAAGGACTAGCACTGCAGATTAAATGACCAAATTATTTTGGTTTGCATATTTAACCTCTCTATCATCCTCAGATTCTTCACCTGTAAAATGAAATTGTAATAGTTTTGTGCATTATTACTGGTGTAAAGACAAATGTACAAAATGCTAAATATGGTAGCTGGTTCTGAGTAGGGACTTAATATTATTATGATATAATAATATCACCATGAGGCAAAATAATGCAATGAGTCTAGAAAACAAAAGAAACTGAGGCATGACAGATGAAATACAATTCACCAACATATTCCTAGTAGCAATCCAGAAAGATAAAAAGAGAATGGGGAAAAATAAGAGAGAGTCTAAGCTCAAAGAGTTTTTTGAAAGCAATAATTTTTTTGGTGAAGATGAAAAATTTATGAGAATAGTAAGGATAAATTGTTTATCATACATCAAGTAATACATGGACTAGAGTACATAATGTTGTGGGGATCTTCCAGGGAAATAAAATCAAGGGAATATCGAAATGAGTATTTGAGAATTATGTTAATTATTTCATTAAACATGCTTAGCCTTTCCAGATTTGTGTCAAAAATTTGGAGTGAACTTTGAATAGGAAATTTGAAAAAAAGGTTCATGTCCAACCTCAAGTGTTTAAATCTGCCTATAGTATTTTTACAACTAATATTTGGGAGATATGTAATGTAACTGTACCTAATTAGCCTCGTGACACTAAGATTTTAATTAATTTAACATTCTTATTTGAATTATTCATACAAGTTTTAGGATAGGGTCCTTTAAACCTGTGAAATATTTTGGCACATTTTCAATTTTTCTTGTGATACTCTAGTGGGACACACTGTTTTAGATAGATAGATAGATAGACAGATAGATAGACAGAAAGACAGACAGATAGATAGATAGACAGACAACATAATATGAAGTTAGTTTTACCATTGAATTGAAAATCATTAGGCCGGGGATTTAGCTCAGCGGTTCGGTGGCCTGCCTTGCAAGCGCAAGGACCTGAGTTCAATCCCTGGTACCAAAAAAAAAAAAAAAAAAAAAAAAAAAAAGAAAATCGTTAAAGCACATGGGTAGTAAATATTGCTATTTTTTCCAATACTTCCTATAGACTTTGAGATCTCCCTTCCCACTGTGTAGTTGATTAATTTAGCAGCTTCTAATTTGAGCCCATGAATTTCAAACACTTTAATGTGTTCAGTCACACATTTTATTAAGAGTCCTCCTATTTCTCAAATTCAGAAGAGCCTGATAGTTCATTGAGTTGTATGGAAGAAGAGTTGCTCTCTCCTCGAGATCCTTCTTTTGTTTATTTCTCTAGTTGAAAGGATACAGAAAATAAAAACTACTAGTGGTAGAGATGTAGTACTATCTCTATTATGTGGGATATCACTAATTTCCCAGCTAATGCTGACTTTTGTCAACCTCTCCACAGTAGATAATCAAATGGCAGATGGCAAAGGACAAAAATTCACCAATACATAAAGGGAACTTTTGGATTTACCTCCTTCCTGTACAGGAACTTTTCAAAGCTATTAGTATTTTTCTCTCCGTTGTTTACCTCCACCTACTAAGATTATGGTCAGCTTTTTTAAAAAGTTTGATTGCTTAAACGCAGATGAGCCACTGGAGTGGTGACTTGATAGATACTTCATTTAATGAATACAGTTATGCTTTGAATAACTCCATGGTCCGCTATTTTGTCACTTGGTCCTTTCGCTGAGCCACCACATTTGAAATTCATAAGAGAACTTAAGCTTCAGACATCAAGTAAGATGTTTCCTCAATGAACAGAAAATCCATGTATTCTTATCTTAACAGATAGTGATGACTTCCTTTGGCCAAGCCGTCTTCTGGTATTTTCTCTAAGCCCTTAATGACTTCATGCTATTTTTGCAAGCACAGCAGTATTAAATATTTAACCTCACTAGATTTTGCTGCATTTTTCTGTTAGAATTTCACCTCATTGACACTGGGCAGGCCACTGAAAATTTTCTGTGCCTCATTTTCTTTGTAGGTAATGCACATATTAGAATATTTAATGTATGGATTTTTAACAAGTTTCCCTTGAAAGAGTGAACAAGCTGTAAATCACAGTGAACATATGAAGAATAATACAAAGCTCTCAATCTCACGCACAAACACAATTCTTAGAACTTTTTCTGTATGTAAGGTCTGCCAAAG